CTCTGCCGACGAAGTCAAAAGCTTATTTTGAAGTCTGTGAAGGAAGCGTGGTACGTTTGGCGACCTTTGCAATATTTTTCCTGGGGCTATCATACAATTTATATCAGGTTCTGTGTGTTGCAATGAGCAAATGTGCATATTTTTGCTTGGGGGGAAGGTTTTCAATGACTCCGGCTGTCCACCGGTTGCGTGATACTTTTTCAACAGCTCGTCCTGTCACATGAATCATCGCCGTAGAGTAAGACGATTAGAGCATCATTAAATTGCAAGACCATACTGATCGTTTGAATGGATACACCCCTCAGATCTCCGGACTGTCATTGTCAGTCAATTTTCACAACAGAATGGCAATTTTGGTATGCTTGCTCATTTGTAATTGTTTGGTTGTGAAGTCTTTTGGATTTCTGATGCCATAAAAATGGTGGTTCGCACACAGAATTCATACTTTCAGAGACGAATTTAAATCCCAAAAACGTTATTCAGTCTCTGTCTGATTCTTTCTTCAAGCTAAAACTTTATTTTCTGGTGACAAACCGGGATATGAAATCGGGCGAATATCAGTTTAAAAACATCCCAGAAGCAAATTCATGTGACTGGAGGTGGGAAACACGCTTCATTAAATATGGATGCAGTAAAGTATTAAGGAAACCAGGTTTTATTCGCTGAAATCCATGGAGAAAGTCAGAACGGGTGATTATCTGTTCCAGATTTCTGTGTAGGATGCATCGATTGATCACACTGGCCGAACTAGGCTTACTTACAGGGTTTTACTTGGAGCCTCTGGTTGAGGAATCAAACTCAAATGCGAACTGGATAATCGTGGAATCCGCAATTTGTCTAGATCCTTACACACTTCAGGTAGAATGCTGCCATACAAGATGACATTACGCACCTCACATATGTATGTTCATGTATGCCATTAACTCAGGTGAAACAAAGCCTCATATGACGTCCGCGTCGTCTAAAGTAGCCAGGCATGTTACAGTCGAGTGAAATGATTATCCGATGACAGCCGACTTCAAGGAGGTAATGTTGTTGGATTCTTGCGAACTATTTAGGAAATCAGAAACCAGGAATATTGCGCCCTGAAACTATCGCAGCTGCTTATGCGAGAGTTTTGCCCAACACAACTGGATCGTTTGCATTCCACCTCATGTACCAACGATAGATACGCCCCCACCTCATTTTCTGTAAGCACCGTGTCGTCACGCCGTTCTGTCCCACCCAGCGGACTCATGCACCAGGGAATTATGAATACTCCGAGGTTGAGTAAACCTTCACTAATGAACGAAAATCAAATACTTCGCAAATGCTGAGGAATGAGTATCCGCAAGAATTCCACTGAGGTTCCTCAACTTTTTAGGGCTGACCGATAATTCTGCATCGGGTGGTATGGTATCGTTCAAATGATTTCGAAATGTGCACGTTTGGAATCATATCCTTTAGTAGTGACCACCAGGTACTCATTTCCAAGACCATTATTCAACAAGTCTGCCCTAATCTATCTTCTCAATTTGCTATTCCGCAGTTGTATGTTTGCCTGCCATGATCCTTAAATAGTGGATGGAATGTCCAGGGCTTCTCTGATGTACTCTAGGGGCAATGTGAACACTACCGTCTGACCTACACGCATTAAATGCTTCATTTTTTTTACAATTTGTTCAGTATATATGGTTATTCAGCATCATGGAGAGATGAGGATGATTAGATAAACAACTCATAGCCTACGTTTTCGAAAAAGTTTGGTGACAATCGGTAGTTTTATCGTTGGGCAACGTTTCGCTTTTGACAAAAAAGTTTCGACAGGGCAAGTGACTAGGTTCCGAGGGGGATTGGGAGTTGAGGGTAAAAGGTTTAGACTAGGTTCCGAGGTTGATCGAGATTTAAGGCGGAAGGAGAACCAATCATCTAAGTCAAGCTAAATCTCTGTTGGGTGTTGGCCGAGGGATTTTAGTGTGTTAGAGTGGTTGAACAAGTGTTGGGTCGTTGGGGAACCTATATTTGTTTGGGTCCTGCCTAGGGTCTAGTTCTTCTGGTTCGGTTCATTTGATGGTTCCTCTTGAACTTCGTTTGAACCTTCTGTCAGTCTTAAATCTGTTAGCCTTAAATCTCGATCAACCTCGGAACCTAGTCACTTGACCTGACGAAACTTTTTTGTCAAAAGCGAAACGTTGCCCAACAATAAATCTACCGATTGTCACCAAACTTTTTCGAAAACGATGACTACCCAATCGGTTTCAGGTATTTTCCACGTGATTGAATGCATAGCCTAGTTTCAAACAATCGTAAAATTTCCAGCCCCGCCTCCGAATCATTTATTGCGCTGACCTCGTTTTCGTCCATGCTTACTTGCGCCGCCGAATCAGATATTATTTCGAACACCAAATAAATAGTGTCGCCAAACTCCACATGATTATGCTATCCTTCTTTTCTTTCTAGTCACAAATAATTTATTTCCAAGTTATGGTCATCGTGTCAGTCAGAACACCTCAGGCGTAGTCATCCATATAATTGGATGTTTCAAGTTAAGCTGCGCTTTCAGCTGGATGAAATGAAGGCCACCAGTGAAGAGGGGAATTATTGCTAAGATATCTAACTGAGTTTCGGATTTTTCGGGACATTTTACTTGGGTGATTGTGCATCCACTGATGAATGTGACGCAGTTTGGCCTACCTGGTGGTTTTCGATCCTCATTCGGTTAGGTAGGTGGTCTGTCCCAGTGTCTGCTCCGCTCACCGCTCGAATGATGGATAATTCCTTGGCGAACCATCAGGTAGCGTACTAGATAGGAGTAGCTTTTGTAAGTGTCTCTTGCTGTCTGTGTCAAAATCACATGCTAATGACGACAGGCGCATGCGTACAGCAATTCTGAGAAATCGGTCAACGTTAGCGTTTACAGCCACAATGCCGTGGCTTTGGATTTCGTCTGATCGTCGTTTTGGAAATTTGGTCTCAGCCACAGACGCAGCGGAGCAAGCAAGCAAGTTACAGTCGATGCAGCGATCCTGCTTTTATCTGATCTGAAATGCGAGCGAGCGTACATCGCCAGCTTCAAAAAGAATTTCTCGGCCTTGCGATGCTGAAGAAAGCTACATAAATTCCGCAGCTCTTCAGGTTCATTGTGACGAGGGTAGTTCTGTTTGGTTCATCATTTTGAGTCAACAGCGTTTGAATGTTTCATGCACCCGGATTTGGTGATCACGTGCAGAAATGTGATTGCTTACAGTTTACCTGAAACAGAGAGGAATAATCATGGACCATTGGGTCACCACAAAATCTCCAAACTGGATGCAGTCTGTGACTGCCTGGCCTCTGAGTATTCAGCTGTAGGCCGTTCACACAGCCTTTGAACTTTTGCTACCAGGATTACTAGTTTTTCGACCGATAGTTAGTTACCTGGCTTCAGCCACATCTCTAGTTCCAGAAAAGTACATTTTGAAGTCAAACTCGTAAAACGTAAGTTTCGTTTAGATTACCTTCAGAAGTCAGGCCGGCGTATTTCATAGCAAACTGAGCCATCCTTACACCGGAAGTAGTGTTGTGTGTCTCCAAACTTTATTATCTTTTCTCTCATAAAATGGAGTAACTGAAAATTCAGTTTAGTAGTTGGTCTCCCTTACACCTATGGGAATATGCTGCTAAAGAATTTTCAACGTTGTTTACGAAAACCAACCGCGATCGCTCTGCTGCAAGGTAGCTGCGAAACGCAAAAATAATTTACGACAGCAACTTATGCATTGGCGTGAAACACTGATGTAACCCTACCCCCTCACAATAAATTTTGTCGGTACATTTGAAGACAGTTTTTTCTATAAAAAAATCTTATCGTGCATACCGCACACGTATACAAGGTGAGCCGGTATACTCCATACTAGGGAGCCAAATTGCCACCAAAATTCTTTCGATAAAATAGGGATGGGGAAACGACTGAAACTAAAGTATTGGTGCACCTCGTCTGGGTTATCCGATGATATGAGCTATACAGATTACTTGGAAATGGCGAACAAAATACATCACAATCGAGAAAGTTCAACAGTGCTTGAACGGAGCCAGAAAATTGGGCGTTTGTCATTCACCTTTAATTAACCGCAACATGACAACTTTTTCCTTAGCATAGAAAGAAAATGCCCATTCTAGACGTGGGAATTCTATGGAATTCTATGCGGGTAATGTCCGTTAGGGATTAACCTCGGGAAGAAATGCATCACCTTCACACTTCTATCAACAGCGAGTGCACTCTTTCGTAGCCGAGAAATCAGCATTAATTTGTTTGCTGTGGCCGTACTCCACATATCAGTTATCCGCTTCACATACAGCTTTGTCTGGTCACCGTTAATGCTATCTGAGATCAGCTCAGGTTTGACGTGACTCTCAATTGATCTGTTGTTCACACAACCACATGCATCGTTTATGATCCTTTCCTATTCAATCACTCTTCAATAGCCGTTTCTAACATCATTTGTACTTTCTACCTGAAACTCTGCGGGCATAAATGTGCATCATCATTTCAGGTCAAATTTGACCTGTAAATCCGGTAGCGACAATAAAGTAGTTTACCCCATAATGCACATGTGCTGATAATATATATAGAATATAAGCACCGCACATTACATGTTGACCGAAGAAAGGCTATTTGAGTTGTATCTCTAAGTTGCACACGGTTGTGAATGACTGGCTCTTCCAATATTTGTTCTCAGATAATGAGAAAGTTTGCTATTGTTTTTTCGTTCTTGCGCACCTATCTAGTTTTGAAAATACTCTACATGGTAGTTGAACCCTGTGTTATGTGGCTGGACACCAGCCACGTGATCAGGGATGTTGAGTGGAATTCCAATTCTGCTGTGTGCTAAAGAGTAAGATGTAATGGTTTTTTGTGTCACGAAACGTAACTGGACGCGATTGGATCGGATGGAACTGAACGGCTCACCAATTGCTTAAATGGAAAAAGTAGCTTTGTCGTTCCACTCACGTTCACGGGAAAGGAAGCTAAACAGAAGGCGATGCCAGAACCGCGCATCAAGTCCAAACGGTCAAGCTCACTGTACAACGGAAGCTCACTTGAGCATACTGTGTATTACGAATGCACGGCTCGCTTAGTTGCACAAAAGAAACTGAAGGCAGACGAATCGTTCAGTCAAGATGGAGTGGAACAATTCATAAAAAAATCTGGCAAGTCGACGATGGCAAATTACGCACTATGCTTTCTACGTGATCGTATTGTTTTCAAAAGTAACAAAGTAGGCGTAAAATCCGCTAGTCATGAACCTGTGCTATACACACAAATTAAGGGCGGGTTTTCAGTCAGTAACTTTCCCAATATGCTCATCCTCGGCATTGATTATCCGGCTCAGTCAAAGAGACGATACGAATCGTTCGTGTTTCCTACCGTTTCGAGCGCAAATGTGGTTAAAGAAATCTTGCTAGATGTGAGGAAACAGCCCGATGGAATACTTCACAGGTCAAGTGTTAGCCAAAATACTGCAAGTATATCTGGCCGTTCACTGCCACGACTATCAATGCCAGAATACGTCTTCCAAGCTTCCACACCTTTAGAGGTAGCGCCTACTGTTTACACATCAGAAGAAGTTGCATCAGAAGAAAAAAAGCCGTCAAAGTCGGAAGAAACAATACCACAAAATGTGCGCGTAAGTCATGCACTTAATTCTCCCATAAAATCAACGTGTACTGAAAATGAACCCAATTTCGATTATCCCAGATGTGTTGAAAATCCAGTGACCCGATCCGACCGAAAAATTAGCGATTCGTATAGATACAAGGCATACCGATCACATCCCGAACTCGCGCAGGTAACCCAGGCACGATTTTCGGACTACCGCTTCTACTCAAGGAACCGGTGTGAAGTTAATCCTCGGACCTCAGTGCTTCTCGATGCCATTCGCCAAGAAAACAGAGAAGATGTCTTGTTTCTGAATAGCAACGAGTGTACAGGAACACAGATAGCGGATGACGGACCAATTTATATGATTTGCAAGCGAGAACCATCTAGATTGTTGTGAGCGGAATGGAATTACTTTATTACACGCGTTGAGGCCAACTGGTTCGTTTTCAACATTTGATAATTTTATACGGCACACCGCAGCAAATAGCAATGAAGCCAGCGCAACATAGACCGAATAGTTGTCAAACTTTCATTTGCTTTCACATCGCGCTGCTTTTTGTAACACTCCGATAAATTTGCTTCCACAAATGGCTGGTTTCTTTATGTCAACCAAGCTTCGGGACTGCCTGGAAAATGAAAGCAGACGGTGAGACTGAGCGCAAGCATAACTTTCAGTAGCTTCCTAACAAGGCACTTATTCTCAGTGCAACTATCAGATTGGTTGAATCGAACATTCCTTTAAACACGGAAAATCCTAGCTTGGTGTCCCATGAGATGTTTTTCACTGCTTTCATGACGTCTCTGTTAATTGTGGGTTTTAATTTTACAAATACAACTCTAACGTGAATTGCCAAGACATCAAGGTGATTTAAGTGCTGCTAAAAGCTGCGAAGTCCAATTTCGAAGTGCCGTGATTTGCCTCCCATTCTCATCGAACCAACTTGCTGTTTTTATGAGAAGTTTGATAAGATCGGCCATGGATGTTTTCTTTTGTGAGCTAGTCTTACAGGGAATATGTTTTTTATAAAATCCACACTTCAGTGGTGGCAACCGAAAAGTTTCTGCGTTCCACCCTTCCAATGAAGAACCCTATCCCACAGGTAGGATCCTAAGTAGTAATTCTCGTTCTGGATTGAAACAATTCAATCTGCAAAGCGCCAGGCTGTAAAGGATTTAAAATCCGATCTTGTAGTGAAAAGTCAATCTCATGTGTCTGAGCATAGGATGTCATCATGTGAGTAGGGAGTCACAAAAGTAACAAACACTACACTTCCACCCCTCGCTATTGTTATGGATGGATTTAAGATAAACTCGAGAAAGTAAATCACCCATGATTATAAAAAAGCAGGAAGGCAGGTTAGTATCCTGTGTATTTCCCGGATCGACATTCTTGATCTTATGAGGCAATGTCGTCAAAAAAGACGTGGGACGAATTCCTAAGAATGAAAAAAGCGCTGTGGATATTATAAGGTATGTGATGAGGGCGCCGTATTTGGATAGAAACTTGCATGCTTCAAAATGTAACACTTTGGTTTCATAAATGTGGCTAGATTCAGATGACTAAAACTCTGAGGCATGAGTATGAAGTTCCGTCAATCGTCGTTCAGGAGAATGACGTATTCAAATATACGCCTGAGGTTTTCTATCGGAATGGGCGTGGGAACTGGGTACACAATTTGGCCGTAAACATTTTGGTAAGTTATTATTTTCAAGCCAAGTACACAATCATTGTGGCCATGGATAAGACGGTGAAGGTTTGGAAAGCAATTTGTGAATAAAATACAGAAGGCTTACATCCATACGTAAAGGCATTGCTAATATTAAAAATTATTCCAGTAAGAAAATCCTTTTGGTCCTGACGATATGGTTAGTCAGTCGGTCAGTCATTAAATAAATCGGCAATGGACGGTCCATGAAGGATACTTTGGTTGTAGCCACTACAGTTTCTGACCACAGAAAAATGAGACAGCCTGGGATATATAAACAAGCATTTAACGCTATGAAAAACTGCTTCTGGGATCACAGAAGCAGAGTTGTGGAGGGAGAGAGCTTCTTACTTGTTTGGAATGCGCAATGAAAATTGGAAAGAAGCATTAAAAACTCGTTTTCTATGACCCCAAAAAACAGCTTGTTTGGCTGTGAACCGATCATCCTTGTGATAAGCATAATGGTAAAGATCCTTACTGACGGCGTCAACAAAGTCGCAAACTTTTCATCTTTACACTTGTCAGAACTTTGGCATTGTTGTTGCAGGCATTAAGTCCACTCATATTGGCACGCACAAATTTGCAGTGGATTATAGATCATATTCATAATTCACAGCATAACATGGGTTTAACACTGATGCTCAGCTGTCGTACAGCCATAAATCCAATGAAAGCCTTTTTTATAAAAAAAGAACGACGGTGGATGGGGTAAGGATATTATGCTAGCCCACCATAATCATTTCGAGAAGTTTACACCACCAGACACAATTCTAGGCAATCATTGGGTAATCTGTCAAAAACGCCAACTCAGATTCTGAGACAACGGTTGTCGAAGAACTAAAAACGTCTTACCTTGCCTCTCATGGAGGCCTTAAAACAAGATAGCTCCTAGTGTGACCTCATACACAATTCTCTTGAAGTTCAAGTATATGCCACTTTGCCGCCATTGGTTTCTCAAACTGGCATACGCAACCTGAGACTTAGGGATTCGTGCTTTCACCTAATTTGCCTCCTTACACTGGGAATTAACTTAGTTTCCAAAATGAGTAAAATCCTTCTTTATTGTAAGTACCTCTCCTTGGATTGCAAGTGGCATGTTCAGTGACTGTATGCTCGGAAAAGTGGTTTTACACTTGGTGGATGCAAACCGCGTATCAAGTAACGGGATTTCTTCGGACCGTTTATCCAAAAACAACTGTGCTTCTTTTTTCTGTTGCCGGGAACGATGTCATCTGCATTCTCCAGTTCGGCAAGTTTTTGCCAGTAGCTATTTGAATGCCAGGATTTTGAAAGCCTTTCATTATCTCTCCGGACACGCGAATAAATAGGAAGTGTGCAAGCGGACATCTATGTGAGACACAATTTGTATGGAAGCTTCTGAATGGCTCTCCGTACATCTACGCACCGGAAGTTTGAAAGTACAAATAACATAACAAGTTAACAAACTTCAAGACCATTCCTACTGAATAAGCGTGTTAAAAAGATCAGACTGATCAGCTGAATCAAAAGATTCTTCGAAATCTAGGACTACTGAATTTCTGAGTCATCTGTATGTATGGTGAAGATTTGGTCAATACTAACCATAGCAGGTTGGAATCCCGCTTACTCATCTCGAATCCGTGTTACACGAGCTACAATAAAGCGGTGAAGTATAAGTGAGGTCAATACTCTCATTATGGCTGAGGTGAGGCTCATCAGCCTGCGACTGCCGCGCCCATTACGGTGTGCATTTTGAAAATGAGCACTATCACCGATTTCCCCAAGTTGTACAAGACACTTCCTTTTGTTGGATGGAGGTAGAGAAATCATAGGAGCTCTGACAGAGAACTTCAACCCCTAATTTCAACATTGCTAATGGAAAGTCATTCGGCCTTGGAGTTTGGCAGGGCTTAAGAAAACATATTAGGCTGTACAATTTTGAGGCCAAAAAGAGCCCAAGATCCCTCGTCCAGAGTTTCAATTTAGTTCAAGGGTCCAAATGAGCTGCACCAAATGGCCGCTGCCCAAGAATCGATGCCTCATTGTTTATTAAAGATGGTCGCGCCAAATCCACCCATAATGGTTTCTTATACAGGGATTTACGGGGATTTACGGAAACCAGTCGTATGGCTCAAACGAAATAGTCCCTGAGCGATTCCCGCTTTCTGAATTACACCAGGTCCCACAGTCGGCACGCAAGCTAAGTTTGACTAAGCGTCTGGTAATTTGTCGGGCTGAATGTTATTCAGGGCGGCCAAAAACATTTCTCCGAGATTCGAGCAGTACCGCTGCCCTGTCTCATATCCACTGCTTAAGCAAACCTGGTGGTGCCGTTCTGCGGGCAAAACCTCGCGCAATATGCAAAGATGTGGCCACCCCTTTCTAACAAAAATTCACAACCGATGATGGAACAACAGGGAGAATCCAGAAGACGATCTCGATAAATTCACCTAACTTTAAAATCTGCCATTCCCTAACTTGGCAAACGATTTGTTCGCATTTTACGTAACCCTGGAAGACGAAGACGGAAACGAATAAAGACGAAATCAACGAGCGCATTCCAAAACGACCGGCAGTCTCTTATTGATCGCTACCATCAGTAAATAATGGCGGTGTGACAAATTTGAATCCATGGCTGTGACGTCGTTGAATGACACCATGTGGCCAGACGACCTCGGCCATTTCGAGAGTTGGTACAGCATGCTTTTTTCGGTCAGTACATAGCCGAAGAAGTAGTTCGCCATAAACCTTGTTCTTGAGGTTATCGAAGTTGCAGTTCATCGGGACAACAGATGGCATTCAACTACGCGCTTGTGTGACTCTTTCACAGACTTTTCAAGGTTAATTGCACCCTCGTAACTATCAACGGGCATTCAGTCAACCAAGTTTCCTTACGTCCCCTGAATATCCCGACACAGCGACCTCCCGATTGCTAGAAATGCACAACCGGAAGCAACTGGAGGAGTTCAACCTGTTGTTTGCTTGGTTGTAGAAATCACGGTCTTACGAGGAATTAGATGCAAACAGGGTGACAAACAGACCTAGACGGTAGGACGATCGTGCTACACGAGCAAAGCCTCCGGCTCAAGAAACTTACCACATGACAGTAACGTCTGGTGGAAAATGCGAATGCATTGCCATTTCTAAAGGATAACATGCCATGCATGTTCGAATCTCAAATATGGAGGACTGGAAGACGGTGTTGGCCAGACCTCTAAACAGCATGGTATGTGGGACTTTGCGAGTGTTGCACAGACACCACCCAGTACACCTCAGTGGGTCACAGAGGCAGACAGACCCTCATACGATGCTAAAGTCCAGTCTCCACGTAACTGAGTAATATTGCTCCTGGTGCCAATGTCACCAAGCGTTAACCGACACACTCAAGCTAGGTCATCATGGTCATAGTAACTGTACTACTAGGAACTCCGTTGTGAGGTACGGTTTGCAGAGCTGGGACCGCCGGTTATACCTATCTGGTCCATACCGTTTACAGGGCTCTGGAACTCGACCATGTCCTTCAGATTGTCTAGGGGCCACTGGCGATCTCAGAGCTTTTCTTTACCACTCGTGAAAGTGTTTTACTCAAAATTTTTCCATCGTAGAACGGGTCTATGTGAACTTTCCTCTAGTGGTTCTGTCTTGTATGAGTTCTTCTGGAGAGGACAGTAATATCTTATTATTCAGTTATAAATTCGGAAATAATATCTGC